AATGGAAAGGTCTTAGTCTGGTATGTAATTTTGGATTTTGCTAGGTCTCTAACACCGGAGAGCATGGCGGAAACGTTTTGCGGTTCTCCATTGTATATGGCTCCAGAAATTATCCGGAACCAAAAGTATGATGCAAAGGTGAATAAACTCTCATCAGTTTGGGAGAAAAGATATAATTTTTCTTTTTGTCTGATTGTTTCTTGTGTAATTGATGTTTTCAGGCTGACTTATGGAGTGCCGGTGCAATTTTGTTTCAACTTGTTACTGGGAAGCCACCTTTTGATGGGACTAATCACATGCAGGTTCGTTGGCCTGAACCTATGAATTGGTTCTTTGAAGTTTGAACTTCTAGTGAACTTATTGAGCTTTATTATTCTTTGGTGCTCTGATCTCTACAGCTTTTTCAAAATATTGTGAGAGACACTGAGCTGAAATTTCCTCAAGATGCTTTGAATGAGATTCATCCAGATTGTGTTGATCTGTGCAAAAGTCTTCTACGCCGAAACCCAGGTATTTGTTATAGGCTTCTTTGTTTGTCTGCTTGTCTTTATGATCTATCAAATCACATTTCAAGTTTTCATGGAATTATCTGTCTTTTGATTGCAGTTGAACGCTTGACATTCCGAGAGTTCTTCACTCACAAGTTCTTTCAGGAGCCAAGGTAAATGTCCGGAGATTTTAACCATCAAATGTCTGTAGTTCTTCAATCACTCACAACCTTCATCTTCTTTTGTTTAACCATCAAAACCTTTAAATTCTTCGGTTAATCTTTCATACCAAATGTTGTCAGACAAATGCCGGGTGTTGTGTATTCTGATTCTACTACCTCTAAGGGGAAATCATCGTTGCCCTCCGCACAACCGAGTTGTACAAACCGATTTAAATCAAGTGCAGAGAATGTTTACAAACAGGGGAGTTCCTCTAGTGCCTCAAATTCTCAAATTTTAATGCCACACATATCTTGTGAGAAGACTAGAAAAGATACCGAGGGACAATATTCATCAAATCAATTTCGAGGTTTGTTATTCGCATTTTGTGTCCTTTCTCTATTGCTTTTATAAGCTCAATTCACTCAGAATCGCTTGCTATTGTCGTTCGTGCAGTTTTTGACTCGCTTGAGCTCATAGAGAGGGAATATGTTCTTGTAAACCGTCCTTCTGCCTCGTTGGAAGGATCAGATTGTTTCGACACATCACTGCAAGATTCAGGGATCCCTAATTTCTTACCGAGGAATGATAAAGGGTCATCAAGTTCACTTGAAGCACAGAGACCATTACCTGATGTGTCAGGTCCACGACCAGCGACTGGATCATATCTGCTAACAGAAAGACAACGGTTAACCATCCTTCATCCTCCAAAGAAGCTCCAACTCTTGCATCAGTATGCAGAGGCACTTACAGAAGTAGCTCGCGAGATGGTAACCTCAACTCCTAATTACTCGGTCTCAAATTATAACACTAGAGCTTCTAATACCGTTGCATACACAGGGCAATGCAGGACAGGTAAAGGAATCTTTTGCTGTTACTCTTGTCGTTTTAGCTGTCTGGACGAAAGCTTTAGAGATATGCGATTCTTGGATGATGACCGTTGGAGAGGGCAGTGTGATCCCAGATCCAACCACAGCTCCTGAGACTTCAATTCCAGATCTAAACTCACCTGCATTAGCGAAAACTTGGGTGACAAAAGAGTTTGTAACCGCGTTTAACCAAGCGGAGAATTCTTCAACTCAATTGAACGAAACAAGCGGTAAGTAGTTTTAACATGAACACTCTCTGTTATGTTTCTTTTGCAATCTTCTAATCGCATCTCATTCGTTTCGTTGCAGCTGCTACTCACATGCCTGACGCTATGGAAACAATATACGAAAGGGCATTAGCATACGGCAAGAGTGGCGGGGTAAATAAAAAAACATCTGAAATTTTTGTGAAAAGTTTCCACTTTTCTATCCTTAAAGTCTGGAGCTTTTGTTCATACATTTGTTCTAAAAGTCTGTAACTTTTTTGTGGTTTGGTCCATTTTTTTTTCTGCAGGCGGAAGAATATTTGAATAACAAGGAAAGTGCTGCAACATTATACAACAAAGCAATTCTTCTGCTCTCGTTTATAATTGAAGAAGCAGTGACTCTATCTCTAAACCCTCCTTTCTCATTAACCCTTGACGACAAGAAGCGGATTCTCTACTACATCTCTAACTTGCAGCATCGTCGGTCTCATCTTTAGCGAAAATTGACCGCGACATTGTACAGAAGTAAACTTTGGCTCTGGCTCTGGCTGAGTCAGAGTTTAGAACATTTGGGCTTTTATTTCGGGTTTCCCCCTCCCCCTTGAAATTTCGAAACGGTTACTCTATATATTGATGGATGGTGTGACCAAAAGTATTTGCCTTGTCTCTTTTGTATAGTGCAATATGAAAAAAAGCTTTAAAATTACCAAATGCAAGCTACTTGGTGCCAATTCTGTTTCTACTTTCGGTTGTTTGAGCTAATGGACTATAATGGGTTTAATTATTGCTTTCTTGAACAATAATCTGTCATTAGTCTTTACATTACACAAAAGCATAACACTAGTGACAATTGAGTGTAAAGTCAACCATTAAAATAGAGACAAGAGTCAAAGCCAG